AAATTTTATTTATGTGGGTTTGAGTACCCAAGCCTCTCTACCTGCCTCTCAGATGAGTCCATTCCAGTTGGTAAGACCAAGGGCTTGTTACTCAACCATCCAAATGGACACTTCCCTGGTGGCTGAAGGTACACTTCATGACAGTGTCCAGGGTCATCAAGGAGATGTGTTGAAAGATCTCTATAGGGGAGTCCTGAGCAGCAAGCTGTTCCCATTTGTCCTGTGGTGGAAAGGAGACATTGACCTTCTAATTTCCTCTAGAAGACTTGTGCTAATTAGACTGGTCTTTCCCTATATCTTCAGAAACCTTGTTCCAAGTCCCTCGGTTTAGATAACAGGTATTCTACAAATTGTAAAAATAATAGTTGGTAAAGGACACCTATATTCTTTTTCTTTTCCACACGCAGAAAATCTTTCTTCACAGTTAAAGGACATGTATATTCTTTTTTTAAAATTTAATAACCACATGATTAGAAGAAGCATTTCATTACAGCTTTAACATATTCAGTAGCAATTTAGAGAGCAAGGATACACTTCTTTCAAACGTGGCTGTAAATATTTAGGTTCCCAGTTGAATTAATAGAGTTATACAGTATTGAATTCAGAATAATCCTTGTAAGACAGAAACTTGAATGAGTTTTTAACCTTTAAAGAAGGTCTCCATTTTAAAAATATGCTGTTTCCTACATTTTCAATGCTACTTACACTTAGATGTTTGCACATATGCCTCTAACGTCTATATATCTGATTATTACTAGTTACACTCAGATCCTTGGCACCTGTGTATGGACACAAAGTCATCAGACAGATTTCAATGGTAGTGTTTTTCACCTCTACTAATTAACATGAAGTAAATTTTTATGCGTACTCCTTAAATATGTCTTTTAAAAAAATTGTTGATTTTTATTTGTGTATATCATACAGAACATCCCAAACAATCTTATTCATCTATATACCCATGTCCAAAATGGCACCCGCCCATAGTCGCCTCCTGACTGGAGCCCACCTATATTCTTACAAATTACTTCAAAATTAATCATAGAAGCTCATAAGATATGAAACATGTTTTTGAATGTTTGCAACTCGTTCAGCTATTTTGTCTGACAAGCAATACTTTTGTTAGGGGCTAAAGAGGAAGCAAATGCACAGTGTTTGGAGAGCTGGGTTCAACCTGAGAAAATGGCAGGACTTCAATTTGGGGGGACACATGGGTCAAGGCATAAGAAAACTTAAGTAGCTATTATGAACATTTTTAATGGGTGCCATCAGTGACTTCAATTCCTGTTTGATCATCAAGAGTTTCCTGAAAGCAGTTGTGTCAGAATTCAGAGTCCTGTTGACAAGTGGTGTTATGGCAGGTTTGGCTGTGAGATTGTGGACCTGGTGTCCCTTACTCGCAGGTGTAACTCAAGTCCATGTAGAAACCCTGGGCCCCAGACAAGAGCCCGATTTAATGTCATCCTGGGAAGTCCCTCTGAGACTGAGGATTTGAAGAGGGAAGTGGGGCCTGTATCTACCATGATGCTCTTTGCCTTGGAAACAGTATGGCTGTATCCTGGTGCCCTGGTTATTTCTGGTCCATGGAGGTTTGAAGAACCTAGTTTAATAGTAATGGACACACAGAAGGAGTTTGTTAGTGTGTGCCATGAGTAACGAGAGAAGGGGTGACAAGGATGAAGAGGAGGAGGAAGCAACAGCAGTAGCAGCAACAGCAGAAGTAAAATGTATAGTTGTTGGTAGGGGAGTAGAGGAGAAGAGAGCCGAATGAACTCACCAGCATCACTTGGACAGAGTCAGCCATGGTGTTCACATAGGGCTTCAGGATGTCATAGTGGAAAGCTGGAGTTAGCATTCGCCGGTGCTGGAACCATGTTTGTCCATTCAGCAAAAGCAAACCATACCCTGGGATGGAAATGGGTGTGTGTATATGCCTGTGTGTGAGGTGGAATCCGAGAGACCACTAGGTAAATTTAGGAGGATCTGTGAGGTGGAACTGGGGAGACAGCCGTGAAGACGAAAGCTTTCTTGAACCTGAGTTTCCTACCTGAAAGGACTGGCATATCTGCTGGTATAACAGCTATTAGGTGACAATTGAAAAAGAGTTGGGGGGCCGATCAAGGAGGGACATAAATAGCTGGTCAACTAGGAATGTTTAGAGAAGTGGTGGGGCAGACATGGAGTTGGGGATGGGTCATAACAGCATTGGTTGTCATGTTTTGTTATAGCACTTGGAAAATCTAACTGGGAATAGATTCAGATTTCTAGTTTAGACATACATACCAATCCAGGGACCCAGCAATCTGTAGGCACCAGTGTCCTTTGGATCTGAAAGGAAAGATTGGTTTAAGTAGAAATGGAGCAAATAAGGCGGTTCCTGAGGCAGCTGTGGTGGAGGCCGTGGGCTGCTAGGAAATTTTTTAATATTTACTTTTATTTTATGCATATATATGTTTCTCTCCTGATATACATGTATACCATATGTGGGCCTGGTGCCTATAGAGGTCAGAAGATGGCATTGGATCTCCTGGAACTAGAGTTATGGCTGGTTGGTGGCCTTTATGTGGGTGCTGGGAACTGAAGCTGGGTCCTTGGCAAGAGTGCTCTTAATCACTGGGCCATCTCACCAGGTCTAACCAGGAGTTTTTAATGACTGTCTGTTGACACACTGTTGCGTATTACCACCCATTTCTATCCCCTGGATACCACGGGAAGTGGGATGGTGAGTTGGTGAGACATGAGCCATATTCTTAAAGCCAAGGAATAGGGCGTGTGCGTGCGTGTATGCATGTGTGTGTGACAGTGGGTGGTTGCTTGATTATCCTATGATCCAGGGCAGGTGACAATTAGAG